AGTGATTAGAACATTTACCTAACGTGACAATCTCCCATAACAGAACACCATATGACCAGCTGCAAGAAAAAGACATTGAGGTATCATGTAAAATATCTTGCACTCAAAAAGCATATTGTCAAAGACAACGTTTGAAGTTGCTAACTATACTTTAAACATTGTAGCCTGTAATAGCTGAAAGTGTTCGCTCTTCCGTCTTAACTGATAACTAAGGTGAAGAAGAATATTATATGAGTTGAGACTGACAAAGGCTTGTGATTGTGTATCTGTGAACAAAATTTACGATTTACTAGAATCCAGTCTTCCGGGATTAACATTGAACACTTGATTGATGAAATTACTAAGTGGCTGAAGAACAAGTGAGACACGAGTGAAATAAGTAGCACGTCATAGGCACGTGATACTATGACGTCGTTTTTTGTTTTTTTTACCCAGTTATCACTTACACGTCACTTTTTGTAGTGGTTATTCCCTTAAATATCGACTCTATCGCCATCCAACGAAGAGGTAACTCCCCCTGAAAATACAAAGGAACAAATATGACCCACCCACAAAGCAAGGTAACCATAAACAAGATAACGAAACGAGCGACATCACAGCTCAGTGGGACCCCAACACGCCACGTTCGTGTACTCAGGCAGCTTACAGAACCAAATAGATTGATCAATAAATGGTCGATTTTCTTGTTTTAGATTGTAATACGAGGTAAAAGAACACTCTACAACATTAGAGGCAAAAATGTTTACAAGCCAATTTCTTACGTGTAGGTGTAGCATTTACAATATTTTAAAAAACGTCCAAGGAACTGCAATAGACTCACCTCTCCGGTCTTTAGATATTGCTTCTTTTCATAGATATCTCTGGCCAAACCAAAGTCAGCAATCTTACAAACGTGTCCTTTGTCGACCAGAATGTTTCTAGCAGCCAAATCCCTGTGAACAAGCTACAAACAGAATTGAAAACCTAAAACATTACACGTTGAAGATCGCAAAACTTCGGCCGGGTGTGTTACAAAACTTTCTTCGCCTTTAGCCTTTTAAGAAGCGAATATTGTTTATTATTAAAAACTGGATCATTGGATAAGACCAATTCAAGAGTTTTCATTGGTTTGGCCTACAGTGCAGGCGTTATTTTGGGACAGAACGCTCGATAAACCACGTTTTCGATGCCGTCATCCAAATCCAAGATGGCGGCCTAATACGAAAATGTTCACTCGCGCGCCAATAGTACGCCTGCATGCACTACACTCTATCACTGGCTTGGCCATCATGGTAGATATAAACAATAGCCGCAATTTGGCGCGAAAATATGCTCAGATATTTGTTCACAGACATCATTTGTTCCGAGAAGCGAACAGTTTTCCGAGAGCGTAGATCGAGGAAAACTGTGAGCTTCGAGGAACAGATAATGTCCAAGGACAAATATCCGAACATATTTTCGCCCCAAATGGAGGCTATTGTGTTTATTCTTCTTCAAATCTTTTTCGCAACGCGCGCAGTTTTGAAAATTGGGGAATAATCTCGGATATCCCCCAGTTTTAGCTAAGGAATATTTGGTCCTGTGACGTGTTTAGACCAATCGCGCGCGAGCGAAAAAATTTGATGGATTATAAATAAACAATAGCCTCTATTTAGCGCGAAAAGATGCACGGATATTTCTCAGCGGACATCACCTGTTCCGAGAAGAGAACAGTTTTCCGCGAGCGTAGCTTGAGGAAAACTGCGAGCTTTGAGAAACAGATAATTAGAAACAGATAATTAACCAGGCTATTGTGTTTATTATCTTACAACTATTTTTCACAAACACACGCATTTGAAAATTGGGAAATATCACTCATGACGTGACGTGTTTACACCAATCGCGCGCGAACGAAAATATTTGGTGGATTATAAGAGCCATCATACCATGCTCTAAAAATATGGTAAGCGTACACGTGGTTTTTTGAACGTTTTTGTTTTTATTTCATTTTAGTTTTCTTTATTTTGTGGGCGTTTGTAATAAGGCGATTATTTCACGAGCTCGCGTTGGATATGAGTTGGATACTCGGCTACACACCTCGTTTGCTATCTACCATCTCATATCTGGCGCGCGCACGTGGAATAATTGTTAAATATAAATCTTGGTCTAGGAACTCACCTTCTGGCTCGCAAGATAACTCATACCACGTGCACACTGCCAGGCAAATGACAACAGATCACGGTTGGTCAATGTTAGACTGTTTCCAGCCATGTTTGCGTACACAACACTACCGTGACTGGAACGAAGAAAATCCTTCAAGTTGCCCATGGAGCAGTACTCGACAATGATAAAAGGACTATCTGTTTAAATTGAACAGGCATTTTTTTTTTTTAATTAGTAAAGACTGGAAGACTGTGCCCTTCCACGAGACAGCAAAATCTCTCTGTATTTTTGATATTCACAGGACTGAGCTAATACATTCTTAGTTCCATAGAACATATTTTGCCAGTCCCTTGGCCCTTCGTTATATCGAGGCCCTACTGTAAAGAAACACTCGAACAGACTCGAATCCAGACCTGTTGACCCGAATTTGACAAACTGGCAGTTATCTCGCCGCGCAACCCATCTCTGATAGAGCCAGATAAAAGTGAATGTTAACAGTGACTGGTACAAAAATAGCTTATGGCCAATATATTCATCATCCCCTTTACCCCTCCCCCGTCAGTAATGAGCCTTTTCATTTGGTAATTAAGTTGAACACACTCCACTTACTTGACTTAGTACAACAGCCAACCAAACCAACAATGTTCGGATGAGACGCCATGGGTTTCATCAGCTCCAGTTCGTCGAGAAACTCTTTCTTTTGCTGTTGGTCAGCATTTTCTGCCAAGACAAAAAGAACGACAAAATTCAC